CATTGAAAGATGTTTCTCTGTTTGCCACATTCAGCATGATTTTACATGTTTCTGTTCGAAGCAGCGACTATCTCTACTCTTATCAGTTGAGACACCTCTATCTATAGAGTCTCCAAGGATGGGCATTAGATTAACTTTAGAACCCCGTACAACCTTTTGCGACGATCTTCTTCGTATTCTGATATTGGTTACCAACAAGACGCATGGTTCGAAATTTTGGGGGTTGATTGTACGAATCATGAACACTTATAGACGGTTGGTCGACTCCAACGGCAGCTAATCCCATCCGATTCTGGAAGGAATGTTGTACCTGCTTCGAGCCTGGAAGAGCTGTGTTGAATCTACTTAGACAGCAAGGTACCCGCTCAAGACCTTCTCTCAGACATATAGGATGTCTCAAATTGGTGCCGGAAGCATTCCTTCTGGATCTCCGGCGAACAATGTCTATCTGCATGCGCAGACATAGTTATTGTTGACCAGATATCCAAGGCTAAGGCTACCCCAGGACCAGATGGCACTGTTCAAGTGAAACTAAGTCATGGTACCTTGCCGAGCGTGACGACCAAGAATCAAGGCACAGAGGATTGGTGGAGTGCAATCATTACCCGCAGATATCGAGGGGGGAATGGCGCTTGCTGGCTGCTGCTTCCTGGGTTGCAAGTTGCAACGCATGCCTGTCTGTCTTCGGAAATGGACCTCATACCACCTTACGGTCCTTACCTTACATTCTCTCTCCTTTCTTTAATCGTCCAGAAGAGTCAAAGGACAGTAACAGACGTCAATAATAGCTTTGAGGATCTAAAGCTTCCATGAAAGCTACAGAATGGTACCTGTACATTTACCAGCGCTCCCCATGTGCAGGTACTGACTTGACGCGAAGTCTACATGAGGAGAGTACGAAAGTACCTTTTGATACAGAGTAGTGCTACACCACTTTAGGGTCTGGATTTAATGACTAACAGTCATTAGCAGGAACTTTATTGATGCTCATACCTACAGTCATACACATACCAACCTTCAAGCAGGAAAATAAACGGGAGAAAAACACATTACCTTAATTCTCCTGGTCTTTGCCGTCCACAGCTGCACTCCGTACCATTGAGTAATGACAATATCGCCCCAGGATTGCCAGCTAAGCCCAATCAAGAAAGCCCAGATTTCAGTGTAGAGACCAGGACCAGATAATTTTACCAGAATCAGTTTAGCCTGTAACAAAAAAGACGTCACTTAGGGCGACTTACTAACCGCCTTTAGCAAAATTGGAGCAATACTATTGGCTTTTATTCAAAATGGCTGTTTTGTCTCCACTTGTTGCTCCTCTGAATGGCTACCATTGGATTCCTAGTTCCCACCTTGCCACTCAGATGCCGCGGACGGACTTCTGGTTGGATTCTGGTTGCCCTAAGAGTGCTGCGTGACCTTGTTAGCGCCGAAAAGTGGAACGCTGATATTACCATACAATCCCTCGTCAGGACGGACTTCGTTATTACATGCCAGGTTGGCTGTATGGTAAACATTGTACTGATCGGGTACTGCCTTTGCAAGGGCTCCACCAGCTCCTAAGGATTGAGGACTCACTCAGCCCCAGCAAAACAACTGCAGCCCCTCCTGGCCTGTTGCCTCCGTCCGCTCCGAGCATTGACTTCCCTTTTCTTCGCACCCGGTTCTTCTTTTCTACCTCTTGTCCCGCCCATCGATTCATGATTCCCCATCCCACAACCAACTAAAACACAAATTCGACCCGACCTTTCGCTCTCACTCCCACTCTTCTTCCTTAGTACTATCATTACTACATCCCCTTTGTATCTTTGTCTTATATACTTGCATTTTAACTGTCCTCTTCCGTCTATACCATTTCCTTTCGCCCTTGAAAACGTTCTTGTTGTCCTCAGGTATCGAGTTGTGCTGGTTTTCTGAAATCACCTCGAAAACCTGAGTCAGTAACATCAACATACTTCCGTCCGTCTATTCGCCACCACAGATTACATCAAAATGTCTACCTTCTTCTACGGCCATCACCAGCAGCATCATCAGCAGCATCACCATCACGGTGCTACTAGCCACATGCCATCATCGAACAACCACCATAGTGGCCGCTCCCGTAGAGGGCCCAAGATGGCCTCTCAGAATGCTCAACGTCAATTCCGCGGTGTGAAAAGTATGAGAGAACTTGCCGAAGCCCCTGCTGTGACTGCCTTCCGCGCACGATTTGAAGCCGGACGGTCTTTCGACCTGGACGACGACCTGGAGTTCTGTCCGGGTCTCCTTACAGAGGACGATGTATGTTATGACAGCCCGGTTCTCGGACCTCCCGTTCCCTCAGACATTGGCCGAGCGCCTAGGACCCCTCCAACCAGCTAAAATTCGAGGCATTTTATTAACACTCGAAATCACAGCTGCACTCAATTCATTCTGCTTCCTCGGATCGGTCGTCTCTCTCTAGCGGTTCTCCCGACTCGTCTCCTCTTCAGCACCAGATTCAGCCTGTCCAACAGGTCACGCCATCCATCTCCTTGTCTCCCGCATCTAGCAATTCGTTCGTGCATTCAGGGGTTACCAGTAATCTTAATATGGGCTTCCAACAGCCGTCGGCGGTTCGCACTCGCAAAGTCATTCCTATCGTCAACCCCAACACCGGAATGACATTGACCAGCCCGCCCACATCGATTTCGCCTGGTGCGATGCAGAATGCTCAGCGGCGGTGGTGAGGACTGCTATCTGCCCGGTCGCCATGTCAGTGACAGAGACCCCCGGTTATGGCATGTTTTCTCTTCTGCTGTCTCCGCTTCTGCATCATCGCGATTCCCTAACCGCCCGTTATAATTCTTCTGGTACTTACTTCCATACGGCCATCGCACCTTATCACGACTCAACCGAAGTTTCTTTTACGAGCGCAAGAAACCTAAGAGGATAAACTAGTGTTTTCTGTATATACACTTTTCTCCGATGACGACCTACAGCACTTCTATTAGATTCTCTGCTATGCTTCATCCTATTGCGAGCGACGGCGCCTGCGATTCGACTTTAGTTTTGCATTCTTTTCACACTCACACACGATACCTTGTTTTATCTTCCGGTTAGGGAAAACTATTCATTTTTGGCCTTGGGGTTTGGCCGCGATGATGATAGAAGCGCGGCTTGGCGCTTTCATGTCTATGGTCCGGAGTTGCTTCTGTTCGGTGTGCTATGGCGACTGTGTCAGATACGTTCAGTTTTCTGCCGATTCATCCTCGGATATTGCTTATTATTGGGGTTATTGATTTTTGGGCGGGACGGAATACTCATGCTTCAAAGGGATTAGAAAGGCGGAAACGATATACGTCTGCATTGTTGGGTTGATATCATTGGTTCTGATTGGGATTTCTGTTGGTGACATCCATACTCTCGTCGGGCGTTGTTCCCGTATGTCCATGCAAATGTTTCTTTTTTATTTTTCACTTCTTGACTTCTCTGGATTTTATCTTCTCTTTCCTGTAAATTGATTGAGAGTCGGAGTCTGGCGGTGCTCATTGCTCCGCTGCAATTGACCAACTGGCCTAGATGGTCTCTGGCTGGAAGCCATTGACCATGCCGCACTTACCTTTCAAGAAAAAAAAGTCTCGCTTCCTTGCTGTGTCTTGGTCGATGCTGCACTTCTTAGATTCTCTACCTATGCTTCCAAATTGGTTCGTTTGGACGTTACTTCCGTCATAACTTCTCCCGGAGAGTACTTAACATCATTCAAATGTATGATTCTTTTCAAAAGGCTCTCTTGAAGCTGCTATTCTCACCTTCTCTCCTTGATCGTGTCTTTGCTGCCGAAATCAAGGCCAGTCCCATGCACAGTGATCAAAGCGCTATTCATCAAACCCGAGTCAAGGTTATTGGTACGGAGCCGGTCCAATGTAAGCATCAGGTCACCACCGCGTACAGGTCAGTAATAAGTATTGGTGTATGAAGGTCTAGCAACGCAGGAGATTGTGACGCGCGATTTGTGTGTGCTAGGGCCAACTAGGTCCTAAATCAGAACCCGACATTAGAAATAGCCGCGAGAAATTGTCCATGATGACCAGCTAGGAGAACGCATGGGCGCTCGCATTTCGAAGCTTCGGCATGTCTAGAAGTTAAGACATTGTAGATTGTACTAGGGATGGGTGTTACAGAGGCTATTTTTACAATATATGGACCTTAATGCATGGAACCTGAACATGAAATCCAGTTCCAGGCCCATATACATGATGTCATTGCCTACACTGTTACTTGCCAGACGCTGCACATTATTAGGGAGCAGGATAGATGGGGTGTTTGAGGATGCCGAGCCGACAGGATATATCAGCAGCGTAATCTGTCTAAGCAGCAAAGAACATGTCTAAGATGGGCCCTCAGCCAGAGAGGTAACTAGACCACAAGAGCATCTACTTACCATCAGGACAGAACCACAGCTACCTTATGGAGTCACAGATTATTGCTAATGATGAACTTCCCTTCGTCCATTCCCCAGTCCATCTCAAGATGGCTGGACGATTGAGTAGCAGTGACGTCATCACTGGCACCCACACGCAAGATGTGGGCAATTTCGTTTGCCCCTATGGAGAAGACCCAGGGGAGCACATAGTCTGCTGCAGTGATAATTATCGTGATTAGCATCGTCCCGAGGGATCCAGTCAAGCTTGGCCGAGGTGGATGGCATTCTTTCGGGTTGCGTATGCGTTTTCGCTTTTACTTTTAAAGCCGTCTCGTTTCCCGCTACTGATGTGTGCTTCACTTCTGATTTAGTGACATTTCATCTTCTCTTACTAGTATATATCCGACACAACAGAGTAAATATTTGTCTTTGACTAATTCACACTGAAGGTGAGTTAGAGCCATTGATACGGAAGCAATACTCTATGCTCTTCCCTCCCATCGTACATTACGAACAGCGGCTGTGGGATATTACTCGCACTAGACTATATCACTTATACGCAGCAAAAGTGTACGCTAACAGACCTCTCAAGCAGAGTCATACACCTCAGATCATCATGTCTTTCCTCACCTCCGTACGTGCATCGATCAGCCCTCGCGTGGCCATCAGACCAGGCTACAGGGCCGTCTCGGCCTTCCACAACTCCCCCGCTCGCCTGGGCTTGAAGGAGTCAGATCGGAGTCAGTTTCATCCTTCTATCTGCTCCTCAATTTGCAAATGACTAATGTGAGAGCGCAGACCGCGATGATCTGGACTCCTACTACGAGGCTGAGAAGCAAGATCAGTTGAAGAGTACCAAGGAGGGCAAGGCCAAGTGGAAGGGCGAGCTTGCTAGCAACAGTGAGGCATCGGTAAGGGCCAATTGATTTCGTTGGAAGTAGAACGTTTGACTGATAATTGGGATTAGGTCAAGGCGGACCGTGGCGAGCTTGACAGCGACGATAAGGACTTCGAATCACTCCAAAGTCGCACTAAGGATCTGCCGAACAGAAGTGGCCCTGTGAACAAGTCTCAATAGATTCCTCTTATTTAGTGATTCGGCTGTGGAAGGCAACTCTCTATTTGGGTGTTGGGGGATTCGGTAATTCATGGGAGTTTGCATGTTATCGTGTATTTTAAGAAAATATGCCATGAAAGCAACGGATGAACGTTATCAGATCAACAGTTTATATCAACGACAAAGGGATATCGATAAAGCATCAATCAAGGAGCGTAAGATATTGTATCCAGGTAAGACAACCCCATCTAACGCACCAGGGAGGTTCAGATACCATGTATGGGGGAATTTCCAACGTCCGCGGAAGAAGAAGCAGACAGACGCCATGTTCGCCTTAACACCAGGTCATATATTAGAACAGCAAGTATTCGTGTAGGGGGAGATGAGCCATAAGACGATTTGGATATATATGCCAATCGCTCATTTCAAGATCACAATCAGAATGACTAGAATGATAATCAGACCAATGATGGTCATCAAACTCCAGTTCTCACCCGCCCTCTTTCTGATCTTATCCAGCCGTTTTCTCGCGCCATCCAGTCGTCTCTGGTGCCGGTCGACATCGCCATCCATGCCATCAAGCAGTGCGACGTGTCCCTCCAGCTCATCGCCAATCTGAATGCTGAGCTGGTGCTGTCGCCCGATTGACTCCCCCAGCCGATCCAATTGTTCATCCTGCTCGCGGAGGGTCTCAGCGTGATGGTCGTATATCTGTTGGTTGGACATGTTGGAGAGGTCCGGACTTGGAGAAGGAGAGTCGCGGTATGGCTGAAAGAGGTTGCGACGATTTTCATCAGCCTCTTCTGCTGCGGAATCCATGAATCGGACAGACTTCGAAGGCGGATGCTGTGGAATAGGCTGTTTCAGGTCGGGAGATGACTTCTTGACATTACTGAAATCCGAGTCCAAGACCGAATCGTCTTGTTCGTGAAACTGGGATGCAAGGTCTCGATATTGTGATTGCAGATGATAGAGTTGATCTTTAAGATCAGTGGCGGCATCATCGTTCGCTTCCTCCAGACGCGATACTTCCGATTCTACCGATTCAATGCCTTCCCGTAGAGACTCTAAAGAGCGGGAGATTTCTCCATCCTGACTATTGGGCTCCAGATTCAGCGAGATCGCTCGTTGTCGCTCCAACAGCGACAATTTGATGTGATCAGCAAGGAGGAATAACTGAGATGGGTTCCGCATCTTGAAACGGCGGTTGCGGTCTCGATTCGGGCGAGGTATGTGACAGGTATAACGACCGTGGGAAGGCTGGACGACCGGGACACCCAGCGCTGATGAGGCAACAATGCGGAGACGGTCTGAGGCTGAGGACCGGGGAATGGAATGCGAAAGGAGGAACGCGGCGCAGGCGTCAGCGACAGGTCACGTAGGGGCCTCTGTCGGTGAGAAGCCGATTTGACGGTGGAAGTGAAAGGGGGAATCTTCGCGATCTGGATACGTTGTTGACGGGGATGGATAGTGGTTGACAATGATGGATGGACTGGATGGAGGCCTTCTCGGCCGGCGACGGATTGATCTGCCGTTTCCGCATCATCTGGAACCCCCGCAATAATAATGGCAATCGCTGGGGGTCACCCTCTTTCCATCCATCCGATGTTGTTTCACTCCTTTTCCCAACATTCCTTTTTCGCCTCGTCTGCAAGCCTCAGGTTCATCCAGCGTTTGTATGTATCACACAGAGATCTTCAATCTAACTGCAGCCACCGTGTGACCTTGATGGGTTGCTGTCATACTTATCGTTTCATCTTCAGCCCTCCACGGCAACTCGACAGACGATCATTTCTCGATAACCCCCTTTTTGATCATACCTGAACGCTGCGGTGTCTTGCAGCCGCCTATTAAACGGAGCCGTTTGACTGAAGGTGACAGATACCGGACGCTTTTGCCGACTATGAACCTCGAGGAGCTTCTGATGATGGAGTCGAGCTGCGACCGCGAGGAGATCGTTGACCTGCGTGCTCTGGAGTATGTCTCGAATTATGACGACCATCTTATGTGTGCGATATGCCACTGTCCATTTATTCGACCGGTCCGCTTGCAGTGCGATCATGTTTTCTGTCAAAAATGCCTGAATTCCGCCATTACCACGTTTGCCGCTGGTCGAGATGATTTCACATGTCCGAGTTGCCGCACGCCGACCCGAGATGTTTACCTCAATGTACCTCGACTATTGATAAATATGTGCGACGACGTACGAGTAAAGTGCCCATTCTCGAGCGAGGGTTGCAAGGAAATTGTACCAAGAGGTCATGTTCAGGCTCACGTCGACAAATATTGTGGGTATAGGCTCATGGATTGCCCGGGGACACTTTGCGACAAGAAGACCAGGAAGAAGGATCTTAGTCCCGATAAAAAATGCATGCATGAGATTCACCAGTGCTCTCGTTGCGGGGAGGAGGTGATGGAGCAGGATTACGAGGTTGGTGCTATGCCCTGACGCTCGTCTTATTTTGTGGTTAACCGTGTTTTTTTTTCCCTTTATCCAGGAGCATGTAAAGGAACTGTGCCCCAGCTTGAGAACAACCTGTCCCGACTGCCAAACAACTGTCTTTCGAAAAGTGTTGAGGGATCATATTGAAACCTGCCCGGAGGCAATACATGCTTGTGCCGCATCCAAGTATGGATGTCCCGTTAAAGTCAAGCGGGCCGACCTGGCGACACATGAGCAAATTTGTCCACTCATTGCTATGGGCCCCTATTTCGAAGCTCAGAATGCCCGGCTTGACTCCCTGGAATTGACCATCCGCCATCTTCAGCAGCGAAATGAGATCTTCGAGGACGGGATCGCCAACATTCGCTCTACCCTACTAGATGCTTCGCATGCCCTTCCTGGACAGAACACAGAAACTCGATTAAGCCCTTCGGGGCAGTCAGGGTCATCAAGCCCTCCGCGACTATCGGGTAGTCCCTCACACGCTGATCATTCTAGTGCAATATCTTCTAATGCCGCCACTACGACATATTTGCTCGCCCTGCACGAATCTCTTCGAGAAGAAGTTGGTCAGCTTTCACATGCAATCACCGATTTAGACGCTCGCGCCAGCATGGCCATCATGAATGAGTGTCTCCGTATAAAGGAAGACATGGCTCACACAAATGCTGCTGTCAGCAGTATTCGCATGCAGATCCAGTGGCTGATGAATCCTCGTCTACACCAGAGCCAGCGAACTATTGGTATGCGCGGAAATAATGGCAGCAATAGCAATGATGAGAGCAGGGCTGGCCAGCTAGGATCGTCTTCGTCTGGCCCATCCTCAGGCTTGCTGAGACCCCGGAGACCGAGCGATAGCGGACGGGAGGGTACCAAACTATGACCTCCTGTCCTTGCTTGTTCCATTGAACATGCAAAATATGATGATGATATAATATAATACGCTTATGACGAGCCATGGTATTAGATAGCGGCTTGGTTATTGTGCAACGTCTGACATTCGCCTTGCACTGGATGCTTGTATATAGTACTCTTTTTGGAGTTGACTGGTCGTCAGGGGTGGTTGTGCATTTTCCATTTGTCTTCAGCTGGTCTGTGAGAGAGAGCTTAATAGCACTTGAACCTCTCCGTGTCATCGCATGCTCGTGTATGGTAGCTGTTAATAGTTCGGAGTATTGGATCTGCCTGACACATGGACTCATAGACTCGTAACACGACCGTATATGTAATTTGTTCTAACACGGTGATGATCTAGGTTATAAACAGACCAGGAGCTCGAAAGAGGGTTTACCGATGAAAAATAGCAAGGGGGAAGGCAAAAGACGAAGCAAAAAAAGAGCCGAACGCGGGGGTCGAACCCGCAACCTTGAGATTAAGAGTCTCACGCTCTACCGATTGAGCTAGCCCGGCGGCGCTTGTTGAAAGGCAGTCCTTCAATATTCCCTATGTACAGAAATCATGCCCGTCGAGAATTTTCGGTGGCACATTATTGACTCATACTATACGGAGTAATTCCGACACATGTAGGATATTAAGATATTACCGGTTGAGGTTTTGAATCTGAATAAATAGTATTCTGATGATATTTATTTATAGGTTTCCAATCTTGCTGCGTGGTAGAAAGGCTAGTACACATGTCATCGTAAAGTGATCAAAATATATTTCCCGCCATGAGCGATAGATCTATATACCAGATAGCGATCCACCCTCATCACAATCGCAACCTATCCGCACTAATATCCAGAACCGTATCTATTGTCATAGCCTGATCCGGGATGACCGTGATGTCCCTGGCCGCCATGTGACTGGTGATGATGCTCGTTGTGCGGATGGTGTTGGTGCTGATGCTCCGGGGGCCTGTAGCCAGGACCCGGAGGTGGGTGACCATATTGGTCCCCATAAGGGGTACTCTGGTAGCCACCATGGGACTCACCATACCCACCACCGGGATGCTGCTGTGGAGGCGGCTGATAGTACTGGGGATGATGTGACTGGGAGTGTGATTCGTAAGGCTGCTGGCCATGTGGTTGATATGGACGATCAGGCTGTTGGTGCTGGAATGGAGCCTGATGCTGGGGAGCTACATTCTCAACTCGCCCCTCCCTTGATGAGCCGCCCGGTAAGAAGCTAGAGAAGGCACTCTCTAACTTGCTCAGATTGGATATGCCTGGAATGGGGAGCTTTGAGAGCTGGTCCCAGGGCAGCGAGGAAGACTGCTGTTGCTGGGGATGTGGCTGCTGGTGGGGAGGATGCTGCTGGTGAGCAGCATGGCTAGGCTTGTTACTTCCCAATGCAGCAAAGCCAGTGCTGCCATGCGAGTGCCCGACCTCACCGCCGTTGTTCTTGCCTGTCCTGACGCCCTCAGAGCTCAGAATATCATTGAGGCTTGCACCTCGGTCCGGCCTGGAGTGAGCCCAATTCTGGACGGCCTCGAACATCGTCCGGTGTGCCTCATTATGCATGTCGCGCAAAGCAGGATGGTGGAACACACGAAGGCAGTCGTCCAGAACCTGTTGTTCTGGGACGTCGGGATGCTCCCAGGCGTACAACACCCGAGGAGCCACATACTTGAGAATAGCTGAGGCGACTCGACCAGCGGGTTCATTGAGAACGTTGGAGAAGTGGTCCTTGGAAAGCATCGAGTGGGTGGGGTCGGTGCAGTGAGGGTCTGTCCATGGTTCAAATTGGTGCTTGCCAGAGGCATCAATGACACCGGACGAGCCGGCCTGCAAAGAATTGGAAGCGGCGTTGATGATGGGACGTATGAACGGAGCAAGAAGTGACATAACGAATACAGTCAGGGTCTCAGTGACCTTGTCCACCAGCGTCTCTAGACCCGGAATCTTCTCGATTATCGACGAAAGCTTCCGCACCACATTATCTCTGAACTGAAGAATGGGGTAGATCTGGGCCACAGTCTTCTTGGGATCAAAGTCTGGCATTCCTGGCAAACCAGGCCCAGCAGGGCCTCCGGAGGTAGAGGGCTGGCTGGGCCCCGAAGCTCTACTGAGCGATTCTCCCAGGTCGCGACCGATGGCCGAGCCATAATCATCCAATCCTCGAGATGTCTCGTGGACATACCCCGTCCTCTGACCACTGTGTTGATTGGCATACTGCTGAGCTTCAGAGCGACGTTTGAGCTCCTCAGCCTGGGCGACGAGGTCCTTTGTCCCTGGGATTTTGCCCAACAATCCGGTAAAAGCAGAGAGAGATCCGGCTGAGGAGTTCGCCTGAGCATCACCCAGCGCGATATCCATCTCATTGACCTCCGACTGGGTGAAGTGATCTGTAGCCTCTCCAAGGACGGAATGGAAGAAATCCACCATACCAAAGGTCCCCGTCACGAGCGGAAAGACATGGTGACCACGGATATTCATTTCGGTGGCTGCGCCGGTATGCGGAAACACATTGCGAAAGCCCATTTCACGGAGCGCAAGTTCACAGTAGTTTGTGTGCGCTGCAAAGTCCTCCAGAGTATGTAGACCTTGACCCAGGCATCGCAGAGCCTCACAGAGGTCTTCTTCCTTCCCCTTGTGGTGTCCACCGCTGGTGTACAATCTTCCGTAGTGAATGCTCCTCGCCAGACTATACTTGATGTAGGCAGTACTCGTTGCCCAGTCTCCTCGTTCGTTCGCGATGTAGTTCTTCATACCAGTCTGCGGGTCGATGTCGAGTTCAACCTGGCGGATGGGGCCACGGAGTCGAGCGTCGTACTGGCGTGCATCCTGATTATCCGCATAGTCTTTGGGGTTGCTACAAGAGTCGGACAGAAGCATCAGTACAAAGACGTAGAGGCATCGGGGAGAACTTGGGATTGACATACTCGATATGCTCCTCCGGGCGATATACTCCCAGTCTCTCGGAGGTGACCTCAAACTCAGCCGTCGCATAACCAAAACTCAAGAAAGAAAGGATCCAAACCAGGATGCGGATGGTATCGGCGGGAAGGCTCTTCAAGGTACCGACGTCCATTGCCTGAGAGCTTAAGAAGCAAGTTAGTAACTGCTTTCGCGTTCCCAACCCAAAGAAAAGGCATACTCACTAATCGCGCAGCCAGTTTCCAAAATAAACGCGCTTGACCATAGTAGACGTCCACTTGTGGCCTTTGATAAAGGCAATAGTCTTGAGCATATCTTCGATGTCGCCATGTCGCCAATTTTTGCCTTCAACAGCTGAGATAGAAGCGATGTCTAATTGATTTTAGCAACGAACGACAGTTAGGTGATCAAGCAGACGAGGAAAGTGGACATACTGCCAGCACCAAAGGCATGAACCTGCGAGGGTAGCAAAACCAGGAGTAATGCCACCACAATGAGGGCGTTGAAGCCCGGACTCATTCTGCGAGTCATGACCCAAACAACGTGTATATATCTCTGTACCTCGGTGAAAGACAAACGGCGTCAAGGCACCGGAGAATATGGCGAAAAGCGCGGGGTATCTATATCGTACTCGCAGGTTTCGAATTTTCGGCTAGTCCTTGTTATAGGGAAAGAAAACAATCAGACGGAAGGCGTCCTCAGATGCAACCAGGAAAACAAGAAACTGCCTGACTAGTTTGCATGTAAGAAGACGATGACAGTTGAGATCAGAGCTGAAGCTGCGGATTATTGTTTCAGTTGCCCCGCTAACATCAGCCCAGCTGCGAGAACAATTTCTTAGCCTACTGGGCAACAATTAGTCCAAACTAGGACAGCCCTATTATTTTTGAAAATTTATGAAATGACGGAGCGTATTTGTACCAGACCAGTAAACAATAGGTAATGATGGAATACGACGTACGGAGTACAAAACACAGGGCAAGGAGGGGCAAGCTGACTCTGTTGACCCGCAGTATCAACTAGTAATGCCTTAGACCACAGCAGTAGGTGCCTTAGTATGGAGCACAGCTATGTAACTGGGACTATGGGGCATTACTGCTAGTAATTTACCTAGGTTGACTCCAACAACAGTACCAGGGTATTTATTCTCGCAACCCAGTTTGCATTATTACTGTAGAAGGGAAAAAGGAACATGTACAACAAAGGTAGAAGGGATAGATGAGGAACGAGCCCGACAGACTGTGATTGAATCCTCTTTTCTGATATGCGTTCTAAAACACTCCAGCGTCTTTTTTCCGACTGATCTAAATATAACTTTGGTGTCCTCGCTCCTGCTGATCATCATCACCACTATCAATCGGATGCTGGGAAGTGGAGTTGAGCCAGCTAAATGATGATCAACAGTGTATTGTATGCAGCAAATTTCGCCAGTGAAAAGCTCAATCATGACTGGGAGGCAGAAAGTCTGGTAGGTCCTATAATTCCACGCTGTTGATATTCTATCAGATACTCCTTTACTTCATAATTCATGCTTTAGTCATACCAATGTAACCGTAGAACCCCGCTTTGTTTCTGCCGCGGGGTAAATGCTTATTATTGTTTTCAAGAGCAATTGTACGATTGTTATCATGAGTCGACTCCACACAATGTTATGGACAAGTAAAGATCATAAAAGATAAGCATGTAGGGTGGCATGGACTCGACAACGTAGTATTCGATATACTACATTGTTTGATAATGGAAATCATACCATGAGCCTGCGCACGCAGTCTCCAACAACACTTATAAGTTGATTGCTCAACCCACCCCAGCCGACAGCTAAACATCAACTACTCCATCCAGATTCTTTACTCGATACACGGCCACCATTAGCAGGAATACGATCTACCACAATGACAGGCTCAAACTCTTACCTCGACGCGCTTCAACGGGATGGCTTCATCGTCATCCCCTCCCTCCTCACTCCAGAAGAAGTCGACCACTTCCGCACCATCGCTACAAAAGCAACAACCCTCGCCCGCACCGGCCAATGGCCTCACTTCCGTACCGTCCCCAAGCAGTTCCC